ATGAACACATCATCGTGCAGGTCAGCGAATGAATGAACACATCATCGTGCAGGTCAGCGAATGAATGAACACATCATCGTGCAGGTCAACGAATGAATGAACACATCATCGTGCAGGTTACTGAATGAACAGATCATCGTGTATGTTAATGAATAAGTGAATCTTTCATCGTGCAGGTCAGCGAATGAATGAACACATCATTTATGTTAGAGAAAGAATGAAGACACATTAGGGTTTCACTGTTCTAACTTTAGCTTGAAAAGAGCATAGGAGGTGGATTCCTGTGACTAACCATCACACACCCAACACCTTCGAAATTTGAACATAAAAAGATATCAGTGGCACAAGACATAAGAAAACAATGCAATAACAATTACAAAAAAAAAACTATTGTCTAAAACAGGTTCACAGAAACATTTGCTAGAAGCTCAAGCCAAGAGTCCAATGAAGTCCCTCCTCCAGGCTCTCACATCTACCTTGAACTTCAAAATCCCCCCAAATGAAGCACATTTGCTGGGATTTGATCTACCCTTCTTCACTCTACAAACTGAGAACAGGACACATGGTTGTGTCAAGCCAGGTCTTGAAAGTCACTCTACCCGGTAATGAACAGAGGCTGGGCCTGGTTGTACGTTAATGTAGAGAAAGCCAATCTTATATCCTTCTGTTAAAGCACCAGTGTGAGCTAACTGACCTAGCAGTGTTGTGTCTTTGTTAACATGTATGCATACACAGTATTGGATAGCTCAGGGAAGGGTCAGTACTGCGAATTACTAAGTACTATAACAACATCAAGCAAATACATGAAATGTGGTGAAAAAAAGAGCAACAACAAAAGCACAACTGACTTACGGAAGTGGCAAAATTTCAGCAACAATTCTGCGAAGCCTAATTTAAATATTTAAGGAAGAATATGCAGTCACCTAACTTGAAGACAGACATACAAGGAGGGCTGGTGCCATTTTCACAATCACATTATCGATACAGCCCCCTTCATAAGCTTTTTTTTTTAAGTAATTATAGTTATGCGAGACGTTAGTTAGCCTAATTCATTATTCAGGTGAATATTTTATTTTTAGCTCTTTGACCTCATAGCTGACTACGGGCCTGCTAACATCAATGTGTTAAAAACAATGTAAACAGACCTACGGTATTCATTTCATTAACAAAGTGGATCACGAATTAGTCTGAATGCTGTCTGTAATATCATTATCGTAATCCTGCATTGACCCAATAGTAACTTCCATCGTTAAAGTAACAACTATAATAATAATAATAGTAGTAATGATAATAATAATAATAATGATTAAAATTATTATTATTGTATAACGGCAGCACAAGGAAAGTAAATATGAACTTACGCAATGAAGCCTCAGTTTGTCGTTCTGCAGTAAGAGTGTTAGTTCGGAGAAACGCACAATCTGCGCTAACGCACCGCGCTCAGTCTTTGCAGAGCATTTTATGATCGGATCAGCGCAGAGACAAGTCTCTTTAAGGCCGCCAAAACCGATAGTGAGACGGTGACTCGTCCACCACACCTCCGTCACACGCCTCAGGTCATTGTACTGCAGTGAAATTCACGTGCCTCCACTCCTGTGAGTATGTTGGATTTGTCATAAAATAATTTGTATTGACGAAATGCTACTCCTATAGAATCGCTCTCGTTACCAGAAATTATGTAGGATAATAACATAATTTCCCCGCGGTTTGACGTGTTAATTAGGCCTATTAAAGAACAGCAGTCCTTAAGCTTCATCAAGTAAACAAGAAAACAACCAAACAAATAAAATTATGGCACGTTGTGAATGTTTTTCAAAGGCAAACGCAGAACAAAGGCACTTTACCTTTCTAGATATTTAATGCTGTGGAATGGTGTCTTACTACATTTAGTGACTTGGCAAACAGTGAAATAACAACTGATAGAATGTCAAGTATTTTGCGTGTCTGTCTGAAACCCGCAAAAGGTGTGACAGGAAATGTTTCTTTAAATTTTACACGACAGAATACCAGGCAAATCTTTTCACATCGATTTTTCACTTAACTTCGCAGGAAGCACATTTAAGGTAGGGGACTCGTATAGAAACATCATTTCTACGACTCCTTTTAAGGATATGAGTTGTCAAGAAAGTGGGTTAACTGTGTAAGGTGTGAAGGTTATTGTAATGAAGGCAGTGTCTGTAATAATACTTTTTTGATTATTTTTGATGTATAAAACATTACACAGTCATTACAAAGTGCCATAATAAATGGAACTATTACACTGTATACCAGGAATCGAGGGCCAGACTTGAAGAGTCCTGATATATATGTTAAGCTTGAATGGGGTTTAGCCCGGAAGCCAGTAGGAAGGTGTTACATTCAATCGTGATTATTTCTTAGCATTTTTTGCTAACTGGGCTGGTTCATTAAAAAAAAATCTACTAGCCCTCAATGAAATTTGCAAGCATAAAGAGCAACTGGAAGGTTGCAGGTTCGAGCCCTGGTTCCTCCTGACCCCATCAAAGTGTCCTTGAGCAAGACACTGAACCCCAAATTGCTCCCGGTGTGCAGGTTGGCGCCTTGCATGGCAGCCTCCGCCACTGGCGTGTGGATGGGTGAATGTGAGGCATATAAATTGTAAAGTGCTTTGAGTACCCGTAAGAGTAGAAAAGCGCTATATAAATACAGTCCATTTACCATATAAAAAGTTATTTTCAGTGTATTTATAAATTAATAAATTTCTATGAAGAATTTACTCATTCATCAGCTATCCAAATCATTTCCGATTCTCGGATCGTCCTGCTGGACAAGTGGGAATTAAGGATGCTGCTTCGAGCTGACGGGAACTCGTGGATAAATGTGATCTCATTTCCTGTCCATTTAGTTTTATCTGATGACCGCTGTCTTTTTTTAGAGCTATTTTTGTATCATAATAGGAAAATTTGGTTACTCACACCTTTTCGATGCTTATGGCTCATACATTGCAGACCTATAATCCTATACAGGTAATGTGTGTTTCGTAAACAAGGTTTTCCAGGTTTGTATTACTAATCGGTCATTTTTCTTTTCTCATACGAAAAATTACCACCAGTTCTCATGCTTCTGGCCTGACACTAACGCTTACGCAAGAAATCTTACGGTAAATCTATATTATTCCATTATAATCCTCAAATTAGCTACATCAAAAACGTTGGGGCTGGTTGCAAACCCTACAGACACAGACAATATAATGAACCTATTACATGTAAATGCGAGTGCAGACTTGTCTCGAACTGATCTCATGCCAGCCAGCTGACTAAAGTCGGCAATTCTGCGTATATTGTTTCGAATGATAATATTTATAACCGCTCTTATCGAACATAAGGGCCTCAAAAAGCTATGAAACATTAAAAATTGACAGCACATTCACTAGATGGATCTGTAACAATCGTACACCTGAAACAAAATAATAAAAATTACTTTACATTCACGGTCGGTGCAAATAAAACATTACTTGGCGTTTTCCTGCAAGCGTCGCGTATTTATCCATTTCTTTAAAAAGCACCTGTATGGTGCACGTGGAGGCGCATGTTCAGCTGTTCGTAGAGGACCTATTCCATATCCTGATGGCGCTACACCGAGTAAGCTGACCTGCTTTCCTTAACTATGACTGAAGTTGGCTCCAAAACGAATATTACATCCGTCTGTTTTAGTGATTCTGCAAGAAAATCGCTTAGTTCATAAAGCTGGTGACGTGCAGTATAATGTATTTTTAGCAATGTGATACGGGGTTGCCAACTGATCATGCATCTGACGCTTTCAGACTCACGCAAGAAATCTTACCTCAAATCTGTATTATTCCATTATAAACCTAAAATTAGCTACATCAGAAGTGTTGGGACAGTTTGCAAATCCTACAGACTATTTACAAGCTAAAGAAACTGTTACATACATGTAAAATGTATGCGCAGACTTGTCTCGAATTGAACATCTCACGCAAACCAGCTGACCAAAGTTGCCTGGTGATATGATTAGCGAAGTATCTCGGTTAATTGTTGACCAGGATGATAGATTGATTTAGAGCCCACGAAGTATAAGTAATTTTGCACTAGATAAACGGAATCCGTGTACGGACATTATGTTTGGTTTCAAACCGGAGGGAAATCTTATTAATTTTTTTCGCCATTTCTAATAACAAGAGTCGATCACGTGGATTTTTATAAAGTTTGCTAGTGGTGCCGCCACCCGGTCTTATCCGCAGTTACCCCCATTTTCGTCCTCAGTTCTGCTCGGTGACACCTGTGTGCGATTCTGTGACGTCATCTGTTTACCTAGTGCTTAACATTATTTTTCAATGCAACGAATAGCAATTACGATTTAGCCTTACGTTAATGTACGATCTATAAAATCAACCCTGTTTCAGGTTTCAGAGTCAAAACGAGAGCAGTTTCGGAGGTATTTGGAAAAGAATAATGTCCTTGACTCCCTGACTAATGGTATGTACCCTTAAAATGTATGAAAACATGGGTTATAGAAAATTTTTGTGTCCACTGAGCGATCCGACGGATAAGATGCTACTTCTCATCTGCAGTGCTGGTCGCTTTGTGCCAGGACGAGGACAAACCCCATGATGCTTTGCAGTATCCTTTGCAGACGTTGTTTGTTCTGTGTATTCTCATTTTTTCTAATTCGCTTAATTATTCAGTGAAATGCGACACGTAAAACTACTTTACATTTTGAAATAAAATGGTATTTAATTGCTTTAAGTGCGTTTAGATGCCAAATACTACCAATAAATCAATAGCGTTGCCAATGGTCAACAAAATGGTGAATTCTGACGGATATTCTGATAAAAATGCAAATTTCACCACGGATATCGTATTTTAAAAAGTAGACTACATAGTACATATTCGCCTTCAAGTTTAAACGTTTTGCACAGACACGTTGTCTGTGTACGGACAGGTTGATGATCCCTTTGTATCTACTTGAATTTACTATACATGTCCGAGTGTAAATTTGCGTCGATATACAGGGTAAGAGCCTTAATGAGCGCCAGCTTTGTGCGCCAGCGCCTGGACATGTCCCGCGTCGCCAGTCCCGAGGCACAGACACTGAGCTTGGAGCTTACGGAGCTACAGCGAAAGCACCAGCATCTCCTTGAGGAAAACAAAGATCTGAGAAACAGGGTGAGCGCATCCACTCATAAACCCGTGCGCGCACTCCCGCCTTCCATTCATTTATGTCCTAACCTTCATCAAAAGTAACCAAACAAAATACTAGACTTTTATCATTTTTACTGTTTTGATGCATTCAGATTTTTTATAAAATTGAAGTTATCCAAATAATGTCCCCAAAAGTAAGGAAGTTTCAGTTTTTACCACACTTTGAGGACATTTTAGTTCCCAAATGTAATCTATGCAAACCCACACACACACATACATTCATACATACATGCATACATACATACATAATATTAATCTCATTTTCCTCATTCCCAGCTCCTGCAGTATGAACTGGCTCCAGAGGACAGTAGAGACTGAAACTCACCCTGGTCACTGCGGCTATGCTGGCACTGGTGACTCTGGACTGAAAACATGGTGAATCGAATAGGATTCATATTTCAGTCACTTAAAGGGTCTGATTTTCTGTTGTTGATATACAACTGATATTGAAAACAATAAATACCTTTTGCATCACCGATTCTAGGATTAGTTTTATTACCGTTACTTGTGGAATGAACTTGTGGAATACACGTTTAATGCAGAAAGCCTTGAGCTATACAAGCAGGTAACACATTTAAAATAACATTCCAAAGGATATCCATACAGAAGTGACGGATATATTGGACTCGGCTTTCTGCCCAGTGCTGTGTACAGGGTTGGACTGGCCATCTGGAATACCCGGCATTTTCCCAGTGGGCTGATGAGTATGTGGGCCTGCAAATTTACCATCGGGCCACAGAGGAACCCCAAAGTCCAGGGCCTTGTGTTTGACTGCAGTCCGTTCATGACTGTATATAGTGCCATCCGTCACTGCTCACTGTCCCCAGTTCTGTGTGAGGCTGTGTAGCTCTGTGCTCCTCAGCGCCATCCGTCACTGTTCACTGTCCCCAGTTCTGTGTGAGGCTGTGTAGCTCTGTGCTCCCCAGCGCCATCCGTCACTGCTCCCTGTCTGTTACGCCCCTGCCCAAGAAGCTGGGGATCGCACTCTGGTTAAATAACTGTAATTAAGCTGCCTTGCTGCCGGCTTTTCATTCCACTCCAATACTGTGACCTACCAGACTTGGCAGTTTTAATGGGGCAGAAGAACAGGCCTCCATATCACTACAGTACATCAACCATCAGTTTGCATGGAACCGGCTACCAGCTGAGCTTATGTGAATGGAGGCAGGTGTTGCTTGTTAAAGTGGTTCATTGTATATTTATTGTATAGTTGCAGTGGGGTGCAGACAAGACAATGGCTATTTGAACAATTCTGAATCTAAATGGTAAACAGAACCACAGCACACTGTTTTAAACATATTTATTCCATCTAAAACTTAACTAAACAGAATCTGCACAAAGTGAAGACCGCTTTACTGTACTGCAAATTAACCCCCCCCCCCCACACACACACACCCTCGCTGTCTGCGATATTAAACACTAAGGGCCTGTTTCACAAAGCAGGATCCCCCAGCCCCTCCTCCCACAGGTGCTCAGGGACCCCCAGCCCCCCTCTACTCCTGCAGGTGCTCAGGGACCCCCAGCCCCCCTCCATTTCTGCAGGTGCCTGTGTAACACCCTGTTGCAAACCACAAGAAAGCATTGGATTTGTTCACAAAACACATGCAGAGGTCCCTTTGGACTGTGCCACACTGCACGCTTCATACATGATGCATTCTTTGACATGCTTCTTGCCAGTGCGTTTCCATACCTGCCAGGCCTCTGCTCACACACTGCACTCTGCATGTTCTCACTGGAATTGTCATGCCTACAAGTATTCTCCTCTCAACTTTATTCTAGTCCTGGAATCTGTTATTATAATGGTCAAATGATTATGGTTGGACAGTCACCCTAAATCATTTTTGTGACACTTTTTTTTATATATATTAGTTATAAAGTCATAAAACTTTTTCAGACGTGTGCATTTACAGAGAAGTATCTATCCACTCATGTCATGCAAAAGACAGATTGCAAAAAACAATACAATTAATTCTAGGGAAATATCAATATTTTCACATTTGGCTTGCAAAACAGTAGCAAAAGCAGCTGTGCTTTAGTACTTAGTTCCCATGACTACTAAAGAGTTCCAGATAAAAATGTGATTCAGTACAGTATGAAATCAGACAACAATAACTAACATGAATGAATGCAGCAGGCACATTTTGGAAGGAGATGCTGGTACCCACTGGATTATCAAGCCTTTAAGAGACATCTGAAAGAGAGAGAACAGGATTTTTACAGCACCATCTACTCTACAGAGGATTATATCTCTGTGTCAGTGATCAGAAAATTGCCAGTTTCAATCCTGTGCTGGGCACTAATAGTCATATCACCATCACAAAGCTAACATTTGTAACTCGTAATCGACATTTAATGCAGAAGAAATGGGCAGGGATAAAAATCTGAGTGACGTTGACGAGGGCCAGATAATTATAGTCAGACGACTGGATCAGATCATCTCCCAAACAGCAAGGTTTGTGTGGTGCTCATGGTCAGCCATGGGGAACACCTACTGAGAGTGGTCTGAGGAGGGAAACACCATGATGCCTTGTGCCTCCCGTGGTTCTGTTCCCACCAGTACCCTTCATCAAAGAGGTGCGGAAAAGTCCAGTTTCCCTCAGGACATACAGTTAATACTCACAACTGGCTGGCTGGCTTCCATATCGCTGTATGATTAGGTCTTGTGTGAATTTCACAAATGATTCATACTGCTCTGAAACAGAAATATAATGTTGCACTAAATGCCTTTGAGCAGGTATCCAGAAGTATATAGATAGATATATAGACTTTATTGTCATTGTACCGAAGTACAACGAAATTTCTTCTGTGACAAGCCTGAATAAAAGTAATCTACACATATACACACATGCATACCTACACATGTAATAAATGCATAAAAAAATGTACTAATGCTTAGTGCAGGGGTGGGGAACCTGTTCCATTGAGGGCCACTGTGGGTGGGGGTTTTTGGGATGGCCTCTCAATCAGCCAATAACTGTGGGTCCCCAGGACTGGAGTTGAGAACCACTGATTTATTACTGGCTGACTGAGAGGTCACCCCAAAAACCCGCACCGGCCCTCCATGGAACAGGATCCCTACCCCTGGCTTAGTGTTTGATGTTGCTTACCCCACCCACCAACAGAGGGCACTCCGCTCTGCCCCTGACTCCAGGTGCCAGCCTGTCCCACATACCTGAGAGTTTGCTATTTAGGATTTCCTCGTATTCCTCACGGACCTTCAGCTCGTGCTCGTCGGCCAGCTGTTCACACAGGTTGCCCACCTGACGCAAGGTGAAGGTGGGGGGGTCGCTCGTTTCACAGACACCTGTGGAGAAGGTGATAAATAAACAATACAGTTAAATAAAGCAACAGGCAAGAGGACAACATTCATTTCCTCACAACACCAGGCCCATAATTAAAGGGTCTGTATCAAAGAGAGTGAATACTGAACAATGATCAGCAGCCAATAGAGGCAGAGAGGTACTGGGATGACAGGAAGAAGAGTCCAGCAGCCAATAGAGGCAGAGAGGTACTGAGGAGACAGGAAGAAGAGTCCAGCAGCCAATAGAGGCAGAGAGGTACTGGGGAGACAGGAAGAAGAGTCCAACACAGTGAGCCGTGTTTTACCCATAAGAAGTCAGGGCTATTCTGCTCATATTACCCGCTTTACCTTGTTTTGTGTTGCGTTTATTTTCAATTTGACTTTCTATTTCACCAGAAAGGCTTCGAATAACAAGCTTTCCTCTCTCCCTAACTGACCACTTCTGGTTAACTGCTCAAATGCATTTAATGCAATATCATATTTCCGTTTCAGAGCAGTATGAATCGCATGTGAAGCGACCATGTTATTCCCACAGTAGCCCCAAAAATCCCTTCCCCTCAAACTGTTGCATACAGGACAATATGCATAAAAGGGAAATGTCCCCCCACCCCCAAGTTCTGGGGAAACCATATGCGGTTTTACAAGCTCTTATGAAATGCTCTCTTATTGTCTGACTCAAGCCATTTGCATGGCATGATAATGTCCCATATTTCTCCTTGGTTACATTAATGACATTATTCATGTTCACAAACATCCCAAGCAGGGTAATTTTAATTAGGAAAAGTATTAACTTGCTGGAATGTACAGGACTAGTACATAATTTTGTAGTTTTTCTTGTAAAGTGTGTTTCACAGTATTAACTAAAATGTTGGGCTGTTCTAAGCATTCTATGGATGAAACGCTACGCTGGCTGTGCAGGACAGGACAGGGACATCTGCTCGACGCTGTGGAAGATCTGCTCTGTAGGTACGAAACGCGAGGACAAGGCGTTGAGGAAGACTGGCGTGATCGACAGTAGCAAAGATAATCGCGAGGGAGCCCCCTCCCTCATTTTTGGGGCCCTGGAACCGCCGGATGATGACGCAGCCTCCAGGGGGACCTGTCCCTCAGTCCTAAGGCCATAGCCAACATGCCTGCTATCCACACGCAAATTCCAGATTACACAATCAATAACAGCCAGACAGTAGGGCTTAAATGAGACACCCTCAATAGTTTTCACAGCCAACCTGTCAGAAATAGCGCTCTTGCCACATGCACGAAGTGAGTTCTGTACAAGCATCTTGGATGGACTCAACCCAGACCATGCAGCTGGACCACTGACCAGCTGCATTGCAGTATGTTCAGTCCAGGATAAGATAACGATCTAAACTCCAAAGGCGGGCAAATGATTTCATAATTCAGGCGCAGAGGTGAAGGCCTTGAGTGTCCCAGCCCTGCCATGTTATGTTATAGCTAGTTATGTTGGGTAATAAGAATCCATCGTCTACCATCGGCGCATAAAAGTACTTTAATCTGCTACATGTTGTAAATAACCCTAAACGCGCGATCTCTCCACTGACACCGAGCCTTCCAGCCAGGGTATATCAGCCTGAGTTGGCTGCCGGTGACATAATTAGAAAAATGACGTATTATATATCGGTCAGTAATTTTTCAAAACTGCAAAGTAAGATTCCTTACAGGTTAGCTTAGCTGGCGTAGCTTTTATCGAATTATAAGAAAAAGTTAACAGATGAGGTCACATGTTTAACAAATACGGGGGTCTTTTGGGGAGTGTTCGTAACGAATCGGGTATTATCGGGTCATGCCAGCTTTACATAAAGCAATAACAAAACCGGGGTTAGTAATATCACTAGAACTAAATGCGGTGTCGGTCATTCTCACCTGGAGTCAGCCTCTGCTGTCCAGCCGGACGCGGCGGGCCGAAGGTGCACCTCTGCGGTGCAACGGAGCTGGCGGCACCGGCCAGCGGGTCGCACCTCCGGCGCTTGGGGGATTGCGGGCCGTGCAGAGCGTCCCACTTCGCGGAGCGCCTTAATGTGGCGCCGCACGCCATGACCGAGCCGGTGGACAGCGTTGAGAGGGCAAATCACCCGGCATGAAAACAGAAGCGCCGGGGCAAAGCGCGGTCCCGCCCCAATACTGGTGCCCTGTACGGCAACCCGATCTGGTGCCACCCCAGCACGGACCACATGTGTCATACGTCAGCGGGGAAGGGATTGCCGGTTCCGGGGACAGGGCGGCGCATGGGATACTAATACGGAATCGCACAACACCGCAAATTATACTTCAAACAGATGCACTCATTTTAAGATATATGGTTTTTCACAGGGGACCCAGGAAGAGTTGGGGTAGGAACTGCCAATCGGCAAAATTTTGATTAATTACAAAGGTGCAGGACAATCCCTCGAGGACATAAAAGGCCCATTGATAGTACAAGGGCTTGTATTGTTTGTGTCCGAGGCACATAAACGTCGATGGAGTGTGTAGCTAAACCTGTTCACTGCTGGATGGCACTTCAGTCCAAGCTGATTTGTCCCCGAGGAGTGTACTCGTGTCACACACTTAGCAGATTTGCAAACAACTTAAAATATTATGTCTCCTAGGATGAAGTTGGTATTAAGTTTAAACATTTACACACAGTCAAACTTTAATTGGAAAAAAACAACATAACAGTGAATGTAACAAAGGCTATGTACATGGGTATTTAAATGCAAAGTTTCAAATTTATGAAATTTTTGGGCATTTACAGCAAGCCAGGATTACAGCTTCAGAAAGAGACCATCTCTTCAATGAAAATTCATTTCCAACTATGTGGATTAGCTATCGCACAGTACACAAAGGGAGGGGACAACATCATAAAACAAGTTTAAAAGTTACTCCATCAAAACCGTCCACAAGTCAACTGTGTCTTCCATCACTCCGAGCCAGTTCACTGGTGCAGCAAACTGGGTTTTTATTGAGCGACTTGTGGGAAGTGGAGGGAACATCTGCAGTCAGTTACACAGTGGAAGACCATTACCTAGAAAAATTCGATTCAAAATTACGATGCACTGCGGTACAATTTAGCCTTTCGGGTACAAAAATCTTGCAGGAAGAGGAAACAACCGATCAAATTAGCTTCAGAGGATGTGATATGCCAGCTTACACAGGGCAGCCTATCAGTCACCTTTACAACACTGAAGTAAAATACCAAGTCCAAACTATAACAAAAGAACTTTCCTAAAAACCTAAACCAGGAACTTCCACTGTTTTGTGCATACATGAGAGGCGCCAGATCTGTGGACAGGGGGCTTTCATTAATAATAATAATAAAAAAAAAAAAAAAAAAAACCAACAACGCAGTCCAAACCAGTCCCAGCTCTGAGACAGAATCCAGTACTGCAGCAAAGAATGCAGAGAAGCACTGGGGTGATGGGGGGGCCTAGTGCCCTCCAGACTTGCGTCCAGCCCAGGAGCGAGATCGCGATCGAGAGCGGGACCGAGACGCAGAGCGGGACAGAGAACGGGACGGGGAATGCAGCTGCTCGTCTTTCTGGGGCTCCTGAGAGGGGGCGCGTGGAGGAAACTCGCCGAGGGAGGGGCTCGGAGATTTGGATGCAGAGTGAGACTGGGCCCTGGATTCCCGCTTGGGCCGGGGGGGTGACTGTGACCTGGAGTGTGAAGGCATGTCAGGTTGGGGCCTGGAGTCCCGACGCTGACCCTTGTGTCTGGGGGGGGGGTTAAGTAAAGGAACAGGACATATTATACATGGACAGTTTATTGAACCACAGCCCAAATCCAGTCTGTCTGTTAGCACAATGGAGAAAAAGGAGAACTCACCTGTCATTGTCGCGACTCCTGCTCCGTCGAGGCCTGCCATACGGACGACCACGGGACCTGGGAGGTAAGTAGTTACCAGGACCACTTATTAAAAGGCAGATCCCCCCTTAGCACCCAATGCTAAGCTAATGGAACAAAGTCATTGCTCACTGTATCCATAACAGATCTATGAGAAATAACCTCCACCCCCAGCCCGACCCCTGAGGAAATTGAGGCGAGGGTCCCTTACTCCCGAGGGCTCTCGGACCGGCGCGGCCTCCGCTCATACGAGGGGCTGCGGGACCTGCGTCTGTCGTAACTGCGACTGCGCGAGCGTCTCCGCCGCCCGTCCCGGTCGTAGTCATCATAGCGGGAGAAGCTGCGGGGCGACCGTCTCTCCTTCACCTTCATCTGACTGGGTGCTGCAGAAACAGAGTGGCACCAACACACATCATTTCAGTGTCGGCACTTTTACACGGCAAAGACCGGAAGCTTCCGGCTGTTACATAGATAAGAATCGAGTGAATCTCAGTCTTACTCTTTCGGTCTCCTTGGGCGAACTGGATCTCGATCTGCCGCCCGCACACCCACTTTCTGTCCAGGTTGTGAAGGGCATCTTCAGCGTCTCGCACATCTTCAAACATGCTGCCTGTTAAGGGTTTTAAACTAGCCATGTGGCTCAGGGCTCTACATGCACACAAACACGGCCAGGACCCCCCGCCGCATACTCCTCCAGCAGATCCGGCGAATCGTATCGAAGGGGCGGTACTTTTGGGTTCATCATATCAGGTAATTGGGCTCACATTCATTCATTCATTGAACGCTTGCTTACTTTAAGCAGAACTAAAGCCCTCATGGGACTCAACCAGCAACCTTCGAATCATAATTCTGGTCTCTTTACTACGCTAAATCCTCCTCCCACTAATGTGACAAGAGGCAAAAAGGAGTTCTTCTGGAGATTAAAGATCCACTGATGTGTCATCAGACAGCTGTAGCCACCATGTTTGACAAATAAATCACTGCTTCCACTTGAATACAAGCAGAGAAACTAAAACTTTAGCATATTGTTCAAGTTTAGTCTGCAATGAATGGTGCTTAAGCTTTTGGCAGGATACAAAAACCAGGTTTGTTACCTTAAACATGCTTGACTGACCTTCATCTTGACCTTTAAGATCTTTAACTGCATTCCAGAAGAACTTGGATTCTCTGCTTGTTCTTTCCCATAATCCCTCTTTTGCAGATATATTGATGCTTTGACGCCCAACTTGGTCCCCTTTTCAGTTTGGACTCTTCAAGCTGAACACTATCTCACCCTCTGATATCCTTATGGTCTGTGCAGCTTGGTTTAATTCCTGGACTCTACTCTACTCAGGTCTGACTGTGAGGCCTCCACAGCCAAGGACTTTATATATTCTAGGGCAACAACAGAAGAATAAGTTAGGAGGAAAATACAGCTCCACATGTCATTGTCCATAGGAGGACTTTCTGTCCCAGATACTGCCATTCCTCAGTTACAACCTCATGGGGGTCAAACACCCCTCCCCCCGTTAAATGTGAAATACCATTCATTAAAAGGAGGTGTGATGAAAGGATATTGAATGTATGCAAATCCTCTTGTTCGACGTGTATAGAAGTCAACGGGAATGTAGACATCTACTATGGGGCCGTAACGACCAAACTCGCGACGTAAATCCTCCGGCCTGAAGCACCGCAAAACAGTTTCATTTATAATTAAATGCAATCCCTTGTTTGCATCACCAAGCCAACAAAAGTTAAAAACCCGATATTACAATTGCAGTGATTAGTGGAGAGACGACAGCAGCGAGCAAATCAGAAAGTTCAAACGCTTCGGATAAAAATACAGGGCTTACTGGTTTAAGTTAACCCGACAGCTGGCTGCACTCAAACTCTCAGATGGACGCGCAAATCAAAAGTAAAACAAAAGTAAATCGCGGCCTGCAGTGACGGAACCGCGCTGTTTGCTACGATGCAAGGCTGCATCCAAACCGGCGACCTATCTGACCAAGTTACAGTGAACAAAATCTGGCGAATGCTATACACAAGCCAGACTGCATTTTAAATGTAATTAATGGGACCGCTCTTAAAGGTTTAATATTACCGTGCAGAAGGACGCATAAGGAAAACCAGGGCTCACGCTCGCAATGCCCGGGGCAGCGAAAACGTGGCCATTTGCTGAAACGAAACCAAGAGGCTCGTCCACTAATTTTATCAGAGGTTTTCAAGTATGCTAACGAGGGAACTGGTGAAATTCAATAAAAAAAGAATACAATCGTTTGGCATTCTACGGACATTTTTGCAAGAAAAATCTAGGTCTCGTAACCAAGTGTATTTTTACCCCGAAGGCCCAAACCAACCCGCGTTTCATTTTCTAAACCAAAATAAACGCAAAAAACCCCTTTCAAACGCTTTTATCAGTTAGATTTACTTACCTTGACTCATCAGAAATATTTCTGATGAACAGTGAAGTATTTGGGGGACGCAAATACCTTGCCATTTTTAATAATTCCGCTTCTATAAGTTGACGTACTCAAACCTGCAGCGCCAAAAGCGAAGCGTTCAGCCTTATACCACGTGGAAAGGATACTGCGCATGCGCAGAATGCTTCTTCTTAAAGGCAAAGTCCTCCCCGCTATAATTATGTCGGCATGTGGCTGCCCGATTTCCGGAACCTACCAAGGACAGGGCGCCATCCCATCGCAGAGTTCCCGTCAAGATATTTCCCATTTTATCGTAAGTATAAAAGAAACATTTTGATTGTTCATTAATCAGATTTTTATTATAGCATTGCAAATTGTAATATAAAAGCATAAGTACAAGTATGATAAATTTTGCGGGAAGATTAGGCAGTGACATTTTGACAGTTAAGTCTTAAAATGTAATTTTGTGTAATTTGTAATCAACTTATATTTGTTTCGTTAATGTATGACAAAACTACTTTCTAATAAATGTAATTTATATCTTGCAAAAAACAAAATTATCAGTCAATGAGTTCATGCATCAGTCAATAAATACAGGTAAACTACATGGTGAGGTATCATTTATTAACCATTAAAGACCAAAAAATGTTACATATTACTCTTGTAGACTGCTTGTCCAGCTTTCAGCCTTATTTATAACATCCACATGTACTGTACACATAATAATGCTGTTCAGATTTCCTCTGCTCAGCATGGGACCACACCAGGGTTTACACTGGGACACTGAACAGATAGAGTGAGTCCTGATCACAAAGGTCTGATTGGTCACTGGTAAACCAGTGTAAGGGTGCCTCTGGCCGCTATATATGAATGAGCTCATAATACTGAGTTGTTATATTCCCGCTAAAGCCACCCCTCACAGGGACCAGATATCCACTGCTGGAGAACGGAGTTCACCACTACAAAACATGCATCCACATCTCTCCCTGAAAACTACATATTTTTAAATCAGTAACCAAACACAGTTCTGGGACAGGTCTTTCTTCAGGGGAGTGCAATACTGCTTCAAAATCCAGCTGGCCGTAGTTTTGGCCAGTGCTCAACTTGTAAACTGTGGGGTACCTGAGGCCATGAAGACAGAGACCTGCACCACCATTACATAAGGAGGGGCAGCACACTGGCTTTGAATGATGTCACATACACAGCAATAATACACCATTAATTACCTAAACATGTAACAATGCAAAATGTTCTAATACATCAAACTCTATACAGCTATTAGATGAGTTTAATGGTCCAGAAGGTAACCTCATCCATTTCAGTGGCCAAAAAGTGGATTTTTCTATGCATGTGTGGCACAGTTTTACCCTTTATCAAAAGTCAGATAAGCAAAACATATTAATTTAGGCTAATGCATGTGTAAAAAAAAAATAATAAAATCAACCAACCTTTAAAATACAAATAAAGTAATATATGCATTTATTCCAAAGTTTAACTGAAATACATTTTAAGTGTAATTCTATTGGGTGGCAGAGTGCGGTCTGCTGAGGCAGAGGTCCTGGAGCTGAGATGAAGCCCCCACTCGGGACCCACGTTGTAACTCACAGTGCACATGCTCGGGACCCACGTTGTGCTCGGTAACTCACAGTGCACATGCTCGTGGGCTGGCAGCCAATATTTACCTGCACTTTTTTAGTCCAAACTTGGTCAACCAAAAAGTCAAAGATTAACTGAATTTGGAATGTAGGAATACAATAGGACTGCTTTTAGACCAGGGGTCTCCAACTCCGGTCCTGGAGAGCTACCGTCCATTAGGTTTTCTATCCTACCTGGCTTCTGATGAACCACACCTTCTCAGGTAAATACCAGGAACAGGTGTGGCTCATCAGAAGCCAAGTGGGACAGAAAACCTACTGGATAGTAGCTCTCCAGGACCGGAGTTGGAGACCCCTGTTTTAGACACTCTTTTGACATGTGGCTTTTTGTTTGAGACAATCTTTTGTCATATTTCAAACTTGTTTTCGTCAGTGCAGCTCCTGATGACCTCCCTGTGTTGGGGCCTGGGTTAGAATGGCGGCCTTTTTCGGTGTCTCTCTGCTACAGGAACACGCTGGGAACCTTCTCACGGGCGGGTGGACAGAGGGAACATCAGGACTGGCAGGGACCCAGGCCAACATCACAACTACCTCTGAGGAATGATTGTTCAGGGGCGAGAGATGTGGATCTGGGGAGCTGAGGGAGGGAGAGTGGGAGAGGGAGGGAGAACTGTTGAGGAAGAGCTTTGTGTGTGTCTGTCTGCAATTCCTGCCAGGATATCAGCTTTGTGTTCATCCAAACAGGGTCAGGTTTCACACTGAGTGAGTATAAATAAATTGAGAGACTATTTTGTCATTACTAGGCTTACAGAGTGTCATTTTGTAACATTTTTGGTTGGTGGTGCGCAGTGGGATTTTTTCAATGTTAAAAATGTGCCGTGGCTCAAAAAAGGTTGAAATACACTGGTCTACAGTTAAAGGGGAGGACGCCGTCTCACGTAGCTCACCAGAGGCCAGCCTTGCTCTGCGCTGCACAGGGGAGACCTGCAGCTTGGCTGCATCAGCAAGGAAGATGCTTATCTGTGCAGAAAGGGGAAGGGATGTGAGCTCAGTTTCCGCACTCACAGCAGAGACAGAGAAGCAATCGATCAACTACCGGTGTCACGTCGCCTGCTGATGATTTCATAAAACATAAATATGGCTGGATTACTAATCAGGTGAAATGTATGGCGTGTGTCAGCAGTACAGCCTGGACCTGTGGACATTCTGGATTAGCAAAGTGGACAAGTGGCCTCACCTTTCTCCCCATCTCTGCCTGCTTCCGGTGGAGGATTTGCAAAGTCCAGGCTTCATCCTGGGTGTGTTGGCTATAGGAGTGAAGCTGGGGAGAAAACCAGCAGAGGACAGACCTTAGCTTCCTACACTGAACAGCTTCCGTAACCCTCCTGATCAGTCATCACAGGAAGGCTCCCGGTAGGCAAAAATGGGGGCTGTACCTTGCAGGTGCTGACAGATATGACATAATCCAGTGGGGGCATTAAATTAAAGGTGGGATCCAGTGGTAGGCCAATCCAGCAGGAAGGAACAGTGCTCAGTGCCAAATTATTAATAGTAATAAAAATAAACACAATGCAAATCTCCACAACTGTATACAGGATAAGTAGGAATATGGGTGGATGGATACATTCAAATGGTGTTCACTGAAAGTCTTGGGATGCTTGCTTAATCCAGTAAAAATCTATTATATATTGGATTCATAACAAAAATCATTATTTTATTCATTTGTTTTAAAAAAAATCACATTAGAAGCAACCAGTAATTTCATTCATTTCAAGTACTAATAAATTGAAACCTAAATCATATTCTGTTCTGAGCTAAAAATCTGATTGACAAGCAGTCTCACTGGGTGCTTTTTAATCTGTAACACCTTCGCAATAACATAAAACACCAAACATTTGTGTTTAGTATCCCTTTGGGAGCCAGTGACTAAAATTGCAATTAATAGCTAAATGGCAAGAACAGAACTGATTGAGTCAGTCAAAAAAATTACGACACTTAGTAAAAAGAAAATGTGCGGAAGATATGTGCAGAGATGTTAGACATTGCTCGTCAATGGACTCTTGTTATGAAACCAATAAATTTGCATTTTTCTGCAACATTTTTCCAGAAGCGTCCCAAGCCTGTCTGTGAGCACTAAAACTATGTATAAAAAACTGATTATCTGCCCCCCCAAAGACGTTTCTGGCCCCTACCTTCTGCTCTGTATTTTGCAGGGTCATACGCAGGATTCTTCTAATCTCCTCCTTCCGCTGTTTTGAGATCCTTGCCAATGACTGGTCATTCTCTTGGATCTTTGACTTCAAGGTCCTAGGAAGCATGGAGCCTTGGGATTAACACCTGACCCTGAGCTGGTCACATGACAGGACAGCCACGATGTCATCTTCTCCCCAAGGGCAGTGACTGGCCAGGTCCTACTCCGCTCCAATTAAGCCACAGTAAATCATGAAGGAAAACCTCCCCTGGCAGAGTGTAGATGAAGCTTCAAGAGAATATTGGATCATAAAACATGTCTATTAAGTGTTTAACCATTGGCTAGCTGGTTAAATACATGAAAACAGCAGTCACTGGTAGGGCACTGTTTCTGGGGTAGCCAAGGTGAGGGTACTCACTCCAAGGAGTTTGTGGAGGGGCCAGCAGAGGGCAGCATATCACCCCCACTCTCCAGCAGCTCCAAAGCTTGGTTTACGGCCAGCGTTCTGTAGAAGGCAATAAGCTGGGGCTCCTCGGACCGCTCGCCCGCAATCAGCCACTTCTTCACATACTGCTTATCCAAGCGGGTTAATCTGCCAAAAGGCAAAGAGGTGGGGAGAGAGACAGAGAATTTAGGGAGACTGTGAGGAAGAGACAGAGGTTTTCAAAATTGCTGCTTTTTTTTGTGTCCACAACACATTCAGCTGGGAAGTTGCAGAATTCAGGCACACGATGCTTTCAACATTATGTGCTTCAGCTGCTACCCAGAGTCATCGCAGAGGGACACAGAGCCGAAATGACTCACTTGTCCCTCCAGTGGTGATGGCCGTACTGCCCACAGACATGTGCGACACCTGTCAGCAGATGGTCCAGAACCTGAAAGAAAATAGCATGAAAAAACAACTCAAATGAACTTTGTTGTGGGTCATACTGATGGTTGGTGATCAGGAAAACTTTCGTAGTTTTAACCACAGGATGTCAAACTCATATCCCCACTGCAAGGTGGGCTAAGATCCTGTTTTAATTGTGTGTGTAACTGTGTATGTTTATGTGCTTTAAGTCAGACTGACATCTGCTATGTGCCCTGTGTTGGTAAGGACAGAATCCGGGACCATGCCATAACCCTGTGCTAGAAAAGGTGGTGGAAGATGGATGGATGGATGGATGGATGGATGGATGGGTAGGTGCGTGTTCTCTATAATGGTATACTGATAAAGAAACAGTTTTGAAAAATATTTCTGCCCCTTGAATAAATGATTATTTTGATTTACAAATGCTAGTATGCTATGTTTAGTAATACATTATCTAAATGAAAGATAGTCTGGTTTATTTGAGTGTTATTAAGGTCAGTGCCTTCATTATGTACTCTGTGAACCTGGCTAGGATCCCTGAGACATATGCATCTCTGTCATGCGATCATGGTGACAAGGACCTGGGTGTGGATCTCCTCGTTGATGGAATGCTTGGAGCCTTGCTTCCGCTTCACTGCCAGAAGGTCTACCAGTGGCCGAATGGTCATGCCCTGGAGGACAGACAGACAATCATCACTCTCCGAGATACTCGCCCTCAGCCTGACTATGCAAAAATCAGTTTATCTACTTTTTTCAAATGTAGACCCTAGTTTCAAAATAATAACATAACTGTTGTTTTCTCACAATAAATGATGCAATTATTAAATTAGGCAGAGAGTACTTTGGTCCTTATCAGTATTTGCTAGTTGCAGCTATCAGTATTGTGATACTTGACCATTACACCAGCTGGGACTTTTATGACATCCATAGGTATTAATATGGAGTTGGTGCTCCCTTTGTGGTTATAACAGCTGCCACTCTCCAGGGAAGGCTTTCCACAAAATGTTAGTGTGTCTGTGGGAATTTTTGCCCATTCATAAGTTCCCTTCACTGGAACTAAGGGGCCAAGCATAACCCCTGAAAAACAACCCCATACCATTATCCCTCCTACACCAAACTTTACAGTCGGCACAATGCAGTCAGGCAGGTAACGTTCTCCTGGCATCCGCCAAACCCCGACTCATCCATCAGACTGCCAGACAGAGAAGCGTGATTCATCACTCCACAGAACACGTTTCCACTGCTCCAGAGACCAGTGGCAGTGTGCTTTACACCACTCCATCCGACACTTTACATTACACTTGGTGATGTGAGGCTTGCATGCAGCTGGTCAGCGATAGAAGCCCATTCCATGAAGCTCCCAGCGCACAGTTTTTGTGCTGGAGTTAATGCCAGAGGAAGTTTGGAACTCTGCAGTTATTGAATCAACAGGACGCTGTAGATGAGTTTCAGTTATTCCTAAACGCTTCTACTTTGCAATAATACTACTTACAGTTGACCATGGAATTTCTAGCAGGGAAGAAATTTCACAAACTGACTTATTGCAAAGGTCAGTCCTATGGCAGAACTACACTTGAATTCACTGAGCTCTACAGAATGACCCATTCTTTCACAAATGCTTGTAAACCTGACTACATGGCTGGGTGCTTGATTTTATACACTTGTGGCAATGGGTCTGAATGAAACACCTAAATTCAATTATTAATAAGTGTGTCAATGATTAAGAAGTTCTCGTCAATAGCCCTCTACAACATGCCAAGCTTTACTTATCCTGTCAGTGTCTTAAAGCCACGATCAACCTTCCTTTAACAGGTACACATGCACACACACATGCTCAGTCTATACCTACCTGCACAAACACCGTGAAAAAGATCAGTGTGATGATGGCAGTCAGGAAGAGGTTCCTCATTGGAAAGTGCTCCTTCTTAAGCAGGAAACCCAGGGAGAAGGCGATTGCCCCCCTCAGGCCACCGTACGCCACAATAAACTGGTCCTTGGTGGTCAGCTTGATCACGCGAAACTTATTGATGATGAATGTCAGGCCAACCACACCTGCAGCAAGCACATGCGAACGGAATGCTTACACCCAGCTATCCGCTTACAGCAGTGTTAGCAAATCAACGTAGCATTAAATTAGTAACACATTTTAGCAAATGACATTTGAGTTAGTGCCTAGGCAAAGGCATGATGGCCTAACCTAGCACACGGGCCACGAGGCAGAGGAGGATCGTGACGGTGACGAAGGTCCAGTTCCATAGGTGCGGTCCAGCCACCGTGGACACACCGAGGAAGATGAAGATAAGCGTCTCACTCACGCTGCTCCACATCTTCAGGAAGTACTTGATGGTGGTGTGAGACTTGTGAGACACGTTGGCTTCCACATATGGGTGCATGGTTGCCCCGCACGCAATCAGCCTGTAGGAATATGAGTTTAAACACAAAAGAAGCATGGATTAAACACGTGCCCTTAAGACTTCCAGCAGTCAATTGTCATTCATCTACAGCACTGGAAGGTTTCGAATAGTAATCAGGTCGACTGTTTGCTACAGATCACTATACAGAGCCTGGTATTCAAAGAACATGTGAAGTAGGGCTGTACGCAGTGTGTGAAATACAGGGGGGTCTGGTTGGATCCAACACCCCCGATTAACCCATGAGACCCCCTGAAAGCCTCAAAAGCAAAATTTTAAGGGGGTCTCAAGATCGGTATTGGGCAACAATAAGGAGATGGAGACCCCCCCGAATATTGACAGGTATTTCGCACACTGACCGTATAATATATTGTTTCTGCATTGTCATCACAATCTGTGCGCACCCAATTATCATATCGCATTTGTTGGCGCTGTTTTGTATCTGTTGATATAACAGATTTCCCTCCGTGGGTCTCAGTCTCAACTTATAAATAAACTGAATGACAAATGTTGACAGCTATAGGACTGCAGGACAGAGCTCACTCACGCCATGATGCCACTCAGATGGAAGACCTCCGCGGAGAGGTAGGCCATGTAGCTGTATAGGAAGACGAAGAGCGGCTCGATGACACGGTTGTGCAGGGTGAAGCGGGAGGTGAAGGCAGCCATGACGCCAAAAATGGCGCCGACCAGAACCCCTCCCAGTGACACCACCAGGAAGCTGAGCACGCCTAGGCCTACATCCTGCGCGCTGACAGAACCCACACCCGCATACTCCTCAAGAAGGTGGTACAGAACCTGTGCAGATATGAAATGTCACGTGGGGCTCACAACACACATACGTGAGCCTTAAAAATCAGAACAACGAACATGCAACTGATAGGGACTGCGAGTGGTGGGGCACGGTTTGATAATAACATTTTCAGGAATAATCCATTAGGGAGAGCTCTGGAAAAAAAACAACAGACCACTCCATATTTGATTTTTAAATCTGCATTTTTAAATCCAGGTTTAATCCTGGCTCTGGTGGCAGAAGGCTACACGGTGAGGCAGGCTGCTTCCAGGCACAACATTTCTAAGACAGCACTACACAAGAATAAAGTGAAACAGGAGAAGCGACTTTCTAATGCCAGAGATGGCTGTTCACTTATCGCACAATTTCTCATGAATTGGAGGATGTTATCAAGTGCCCTTCAAAGGGAATGGGAAACATTAAGTGAAGTGTACTGTTCATAATAAGGCTCCAAGAAGCAGGACTGTAGTCTCAAAAACCAAGAAATAAGCCCTTCATTAATGAGAAACAGAGAAGAACCAGGCTGCAGTTTGCAAAAAAATATATATTATTCACAGACGCACACCCATAAACTGAGAATGTATGTCAGGATGTTAGCTACCTGAATGCCTAATTGAAATGTAAAATGGTCAGATTGATAGAATTCAAGGGAAACATTTGTCTTCCTGGGTTCTAATTTTTGCTCCAGACCTGTGCTGGGTTTAACAACTCAGCCACGTAGCCAGAAGCCTCACCACGGTTACGGCATCGTTCAGCAGTGATTCCCCGAACACCAGGATGAACAGAAGCTCGTTGATGTGAATCTCCTCGAACACGGCCAGCACGGCCACGGGGTCCACGGCCGACACCATGGAGCCGAAGAGCAGGCAAGCCAGCAGGTCCACGCCGGCCAGGTGCGCACTGTCCACCTGGCACACGCCATACAAGAGCCCGCCCACGAAGAAGGCGTTCCACAGGGTGCCCAGCACCGCAAACATCAGGATGGTGCCCAGGTTCTCCATGAAGGGCCGCAAGGGCAGGAAATACCCGGCATCCAGGATGATGGGCGGCAAAAGGCACAGGAAGAAGAACTCTGAATCCAGCACCGGAGGCTCCTCCCCCACCACCTGGATGACCAGACCCACAAGGAGCCCCACTACAATAAGCAGGCAGCTCTCGGGCACGATGCTGGACAGCCGTGGGATTAGCTGGAGACCTGAGCCGGAACAAACACACGAATGAATACAGAGTCCTTCGGAAGAACACACCGAACTAAGTCTACCCTTGGTCAACACGGGGTCTGAATGACCTGGCACTAATCGATGAGTAATTACCTTCATTAGTCTGACATAAAGTAGTGAGCATCATGTACTTTATTTAATTACTGCCTCACGTCTGCATGGAGACCTGAGTTTGCGAATTCCTCACTGCCCTAACCAAGTACCTGCAGCGACCTCTCAGATGTTCTCTGTGCTCAGTAAAATGAGGTGTTGTCCCCAGGAGCCGCATCGCCTTCACGTGACTGCGGCCACATTATTCCCACCCTGATAAACAAAACCCATCTGGGCACTTCCTGCGTAACGCATGAGCAGGGACGGATTAACGCACAGGCTAGATATGGCTTAAGCCTAGGGGCCCCACGTCTGCTAGCCTGCAAGGGGGCCCCCATTGGCGCGGAGGGGGGCGGAGTTGGGGGGCCCACAGACTACTGTAGCCTAGGGGCCTCTGTGCACCTTAATCCGCCCCTGCGCATGAGCTACGCGAAGTCTGATGATGCGGCATTTTAGCCTGGCAATGCGAACTCACTATAGATTTGGCCCCAACACAGGGCCCGCGATTACGGGCCATCAGCTTTCACAGAAATCGATAATGGGTGCTGTTGCCGCTAGGTCTTATCTGGCCTGACACAGATGCTGAACTGTCTCACCGGCCCCAGAAGATAACGCGGGACAGCAGACTGACGCCAGTTCAACGCAAACTTCACATATTTTAAGTTTTAGGTAACAATCTCTCATTTTTTCACGTTTACCGGTCTGCAGCAGTAAGCCGTGCAGATTGTCGGCATAACGGAGACCAAATCTGCTCGGTGAACGAAGATGACAACGACTTGACTCACCCAGTTTCATCAGGAAAGCCAGCAGGATCCAGAGTGAGATCTGGAAGTGTGTCCGGACGTGGTCGTAATTGAAACTGAGGACAGGGAAAGTCTTTTTGCTGTTATTGGCATGATCATGTTGGAAAGGTGTCCTTTCGGTCCCATTCCACTGCCTTTGTGTTCCATTCAGGGCATCGGCAGCGGTGCCACCACCGCAAGCTGGCCGTGCGTTACTCATCAGCAAAAGTATTACTAATCCCACGTCCCACTGCCACCGACACATATTTCCGAAACTATAATCTGTTCGTGAAACTCGTATATAAGACAAATCCAAATTTAGGCACCCAAACTAGTTCTTAAAACGCATTCTTCAATAACTGCGCAAGTGTGGGCGGCCAGCACAATACTGCACCCGTGCATATACAGAACAGCATGCCGCTATAATTTGACGGTTAAATACTTACAAATACACCCTGAGAAAATTGAAAGGAAAATAATCTTATTGCAAAAACAACATCCCTATAAAGACTCCGACAAGTTGGTGTACGTCTCCATGACTGTCTTTGGCGGACTCTATCTAACTTTATCACACAACAATTTATCAAGTATCCTACAGCCGCTTTTTTAAAAGGCAGCGCCGGCAGGTGCACGGGCTTCCAGCGACACCTACGGGTCTGATGGCGCATTACATCACTGACATGCCGTTCGCTTTATAAATACAATTAAAATAGGTGCATGGATGGATGAATGGATGGATGGACTTCCAGGCGGTTGTTTTTAATCGAGTTCTGTATGACTGCAAAAGGATAACTCAAAACATTAATGGAAAATAAAATGTTAAAACCTAACCATTGCGATTTTGAGAAATACTTCAAAAAGACACGTAAGCTTGAGATGAAGGAAATGGTTATATTCAAATTATCCAATCACTAATTGCATGAGAACAGAATTTTCCAGAATCGATTTACTGTTCAGACATTCATCTCTGTTTTGGTATTTTCATATTATTTTCGCTATAGACTATTTTAAGTCCATAAAGTAAATACACAACGTTTATATTGTTATTTTACGTGCCATTTGACAGATTTGTTGGTATTTTGCGGTAGTATTTAATTATTAAGCTGCGATCGCAGCATTACTATTGGATGTATGCGTTACCTAGAAACGGCGTGTTTGCTTTGGTGAAACAGTCCCTGCTCGGGTCTCCAGATAAGTCACATAAAATTTGGGCAGAAAAACTTACAGGTAAGCTGTTAGGACATTACAGAGTCCATGAGTGTTTTACGTATTACTTCTTATTTTTATATTTGTCGCCGCACAGTTGCCATGTTGAAGTTAGGGAAACGTTCACTGATAAAGAAGCACGTGCAATCTGTCCGCTATAAGCCTATTTCTTTGCTAAAGGGGCTGGTTTGCCTTGTCAGCCGAGGGATCGCGGTCGGGATGGCCGCTCTGAACGGAAAGCCGGGGCAGCGATGCAGCGTGGCGGAATGGGAGAGCAGCAACAGGCTCATGTCTAACACGGCTGCCCAGAGCCGACTGGCATCTCAGCGGATCCGACAGGAAGGAAGAGCTCTGCGGGATGAGACAGCTAATAAGGTAGACAAACTAAGTAATAAAAATGGGGCTAGCGATCCCTGCGATGGTGCGAAAGAAAAGGCATGTATCTCCGCTTGATATAAAGAGCATATATGAGTACTAGCGCAGAACTGGTACGAGGAGAACCACAAGCACAATGGCAGCAACAGCTAGTCCGAGACGTTATGGTTCCTGCATGATCTGGATAATACACCTTTTAGACTCAGTGGGACAAGAGTGACAGCAGTCGCAGGCTGAGTGAGAGGATCCAGGAGGTGTCCAACTGGAAGGGCAGATTGGAGTCATGTGCACAGGATGTAGACCAGGAGATCAAGGTGCTTACAAAGGTGAATCTGTCATGTTTGATATCTGCAAAGGTGGCTTTTATCTAACTTTCACTAGTTTGGTGATGTCCATAGTGTTTTTAAAAAAGCGTATGAGTCAAGGCTGTGGAAGAGCTGCATTGTTGTTACTGTTAGACTGGGATCATCTCACTGTCCCACCCTCAGATTAAGGAGGAAGCAGAACAGGCCCTATCTGCCACAGTGGTGCCCCTGGAGGTGAGCACAGAGTGCCTGACCATCAGGGAGCGACGGCGGGGCAGGGAGCTCCTCATCGATCCTGTGGAGGCCGAGCTGAGGAAGGAGGTGGAGGTGATCGGCAGGGCGCAGCGGAGCCTGCAGCAGAGAATCAAGAAGGCCTTCCAGCGGCTGTGGTGAGAGACTGCTGAGGGGGAGGCCCTGCAGATAGGAGGCTGCTGCTTATCCTACAAGATTATAGCACAGACTCCTCCCTCCAGAGAGCTGTACTCTGTAGCAAGACATAGTGGTCTACTTAACATATGCAAGGGCGTAACTTTGGGTTGGTCATTGGAGGGGTTGAGATTATTTGGAGGGGGTTGTATTGGCCAGGTTTGATTATTAGGGAGGTTACAACTCCCCCCCCCCATCCCACCCACACCCATCCATAATTTATGCCCATGAACATATGGGTTCTTAATTGGTCATGGATCAATATATAATCAGCTCAGGTCTATGGTTTTATGGACCTTGTGTGAAGGTCTCTCAACACCCAGGGTAAGAGCTGTAAAACATCTCTGCTGGTAGCAATGTGTGGTTTAGCCGCGCTTCCCCGCCATAAGTCTAATGGCAGCAGGTGCTGAGGGTCAGGGGGCAGCAGCCTCTGCAGTGTGGCAAAAACACACTCACCTTACCACATCCTTTCGAATCATTGAATGTAACCAAACATGACTGGTTGCCTAGCAACACATAATGCATGCTAGCCCATGGTGTCAGAGGAATATACAGCGACCAAGGGCTACACAAACTGACTATATGTATCAAAGACTGTCCACAAACCACACAGGTTACTGTCCATCCATCCGTCCGTCCGTCCATCCATCCATCCATCCATCCATACCACATAACACAGGGAACAAGGATGTGGTTCAGCCTAGATGTGCTGCCAGTGTTCATCAGCATTCCCCCACCGAAGTGGTGACACCATCATTAGCAAAAGAAGTAAAAA